TAAAGGGGTAAGAAGTTTGAAGATATAAGAGTGGGGTTTCTGTTTGATTAAATAGTGAAGCTTGTCTGTTTTTGCTAGTAGTGGATAAGGATGCATAATTTATTTGTTGTGAAACAGAGGCTTTTACCTTTCCGATTCTTCTTTGTTCTATTTGTTCATTTTCATGTATGGTGCCTTGTCAACTGGGATTATTTGTGACTGTAAAACTGGTTATAAAATTTCAGCGACCGGTATATAAACGCAGCCACAAACAGCCATTTAAGAGAAACCCTACAAAATCTCTGTGTGTGTGTGTGTGTGACCCTTTTCTTCTCCTTCAAGACATACCATACCTTTCTCCATAGGTATATCATCAATCAAATCAATATATAATTTATTAGTCTGTGAAATTCTTACAGTTGGTACAGTCGAGTTCCATAATCCCATTCATGGCTGTTCTCTAGAGCTAGAGCTGAGCTCCTCTGTTATTAGTGTGTTTTGTGAAGAAAACCCATGGTGGGTTTTGGAAGTTCAGCTTCTATTTTGTTAATGGTCTTTTTTTTGTGTTTTTTTTTATTTTTGTTTTTCCTTCTCTTCTCCTAGTGTTGTGTTGATGCTGGTTTAGGTGTTTGAGGTAATGAAAAAGCAAGAGGAGACGAGGCTGACAGAATTGACTACAAAAGGGGCAGAATTTAAAGCTATGCAAGCTGAAGCTGAAACTGTATGATTGCCATTTCTCTATTAATTTTTTATTGAATTCTCTGCATTTTGGTAATTCATAGTGCCTCGGGAGAAATAAAATGAAAAGGGAAGTAACTTGTTCTGCCTTAGTTTCATGTAATTGTGAAACTGATAAGCTGACTCCTTTACATGGGTTCTATCGGGTCTAAATTTAATCCACGCACCATACCAGCTTGGGTTACTAAGGGATATTCAGAGGAGAGGAGATTGATGAATCAATCCTATTTGGCAATCCTCACAAGCATAGATGTTACAAAGAGAGTAGTAGCCAGAATGGTTGGTTGCACCTCTATAGCTCACCAAATTACGCTTTCCAACAGCTCAAACATTACCCAATTGACTAAAAACTGGCTCAAAGGAAACAAACTTAGCTATCACTCTCAGGAGCTCTAGAGTCCACAAGGCAAAGATATTTTTGATGAGTTAAAAAAATGGTCTTTTTCTGTTTTTTTGGTTCTTCTCAATATATGGAAATTTGTTTTTTGAACCACATGCAAATTAAACGATGGTAACCACAGATGTGAGTAAAATTATTTTGATATGTAACAATGAATTACCTTTTGCCTAAAGGCAGTTCTGAAAAAAATTTATTATGTTGGGATGTTGGAATATACTTCAAAGTCAAAGGGAAATTAGCATTACTTGAAAAAAAAACTTGTGGTATGCATTTCTGGATAGGGAACTTTATGATTATGATTTCTAATGAGTTATTTTTTTTTCTACTGAATCATTTTTCTATTTTGGAATGACTGTTGTATTCATAGGTGTATTAAGTAGGATACTCTAAATGACATAGACAAGTACTTCAATTACTTGTCTTTTTTATTACTTTAGTTTTTCATGAGAGAGAAAATTAATGTGGGAATCTCTTTATTTTGTTGTTTTGCGGTAATCTAAAATGACATTGCTGATAGGATATGAGTCCAAATGGCAGTTTGGGTGATTTCGAAGATAGGTAATGGTTATTTCACATTTAATAGTTTTTGTTTTTGCACGAAAATGGGATGCAATTTCAGCAACATGAGTTTTTTTTTTTTTTTTCATTGACAAGCTGTAGAGAAGCAAGAGCTAGGAAGAACAAGTACATGATCTTTGATGGTGATAGTTACTGTGTGGGATGAGTACATTGAGTAAGCATTTTAGTACAATCCTGGGCCACTTAATTTAGTTATAGAATTTGATGCTATTCACATTATGAACATTTGGTGATTTCATGAATTTCAAACCAAATTGACTATAATTTTAAACATTAGCATTGTTTAGAATGCCTAAATTCACCTTAATTTTTATTTTATTTAATAAGTTCTTGTGGGAGTAGAAATGTAGTTGTGGGCTACTTAATACAAAGTTTATAATGTCCTCTATCCATCTGAGCTTTAACTCAACACAAGGAGTTGAAAGTGGAAAATTATGAAGCATGTTAAAATAACAATATCTTAAACCTTGAATCAAATATAACAAGCAGCCTAGTAGTATTATCCTGTCAAGATCCTCTCCTACATATTATTCATATACATGCTATGTATATATGTACATATGTAATAGATGGTAGTCTGCAAATGTTATCTAATATTAAGGGTCCCCTAATTGTTTGAAAAAATGCCTAACTCAAAAAAAAAAAAACTGTGTTTGCTTATCCATGATGACTGAACAATCACAAGTGGAATGATAATTGAGTTGTTTTTGGAACCAATGTCCTTTATACAAGCTGCTATGCATATTCTTTCCTTTTTTCTACAGCATTTGCTTGGATGTGTGTTGGAGGAGCCATTTATCAAAATACTTGACATTTATGCTTTCCTCATAAACTTCAAGTTTATGTTGAGAAAACTACAAGGGCATTTTCAAATATTTTAAATACCTAAATTTCAACTTTATGTTGAGAACTTAGATGTTGAGAAAACTGCAAAGACATTTACAAATATTTTAACTACCAAAATTTCAACTTTATGTTGAGAATTTAGATATTGCACTTTGTGTGTTTTGAATGAATGTATAAATTTTGGGCACTGCTGAGCTAGATGAGTTTTTTTTATTTATTTTTTCACCTCCTAATTTTCTGTGGTTATATACTTCTCTAAATCCAATTTTTATTTTCTTGTTTTTCTTTAATGGAAAAAAAAAGGAAGTTCTTTTTGCCCCTCTCTGGCTATCTTCAATTGGAAGATGGGTCTCTTTATTTTGACCTATATATTGCTTATGCATGTGAATTTTAGTTTTTTGGTCAACTATGATTGGAAGTGTGATAAGAGAATTGTTTAAATTTGTAGATAAAAATTATGCTAGGGTTTGAGTTTTATTGCGTTTTGGTCTAGGTAGAGACGACAATTTCTAGGGTTATTAAGAATTGATGAGATAGGAGAGTGTAATGAGAGGAGTGTAAAAAGAATGCTACTGATCTCTATCAATGAACTCATGATGAGTAGTTTTAGTTACTGAATGCTAAAGAATTGCAAGTACATAAGTTTATCAATTAATGTTTCATTATCTTTCCACCTACACTATGGGCAAACAAACAGACCCTGAATTTTAAATTTGTTTCAGCTTTTTTTTATTGAAGGACTTGGGCATTTGTGCAGTGTTGTGCAACCAAAATTCAAATTATTGTCATGGTTGACCACAAGAGATTACTTGGAATTGTACAATAGTGTGAAACAAAAGCTGAATATCTATTGACTAGCAAATTTGTTGTAGTGAGGGGTGAGGGGAGGGGAAGGATTGTTTGGGTGACTTTTTTTGTCTCTTCATATGATTGTTTGTCCACAAAATAGAACAGAGGTCAGAAATCAAGTACAAGAAATAAACTACTTCCTTACGTTCTATTCATATTAAGAATTTGAGACATTTATGGAAGAAAATGATTCTTTATTTCCCTTTCTCTTTTGAAATTTTTGTCTGAAGTCTGTGTGATTGTGAGTTAGACAGTTTGACAATTGGACAACAAAAATAAGAGCAGTCCAAAAACAAAGCTGGAAACTGAGAGCAAGCATATTTTGTTATTTGATTAAAAAAAGGTCAATTAATGGTGTTTGATTACAATTCTAGATTCTAGATTATTTGATTTTTTCAACTTTTTTAACCCAAAAAAATTGAGATTACTTAACTTACAATTGAATTTTTTTTCAACTTAAGAATATGCTTGATTTTTTTAAACATGAGCAGAATAAATTTGAAATTTCAATTTAGAAGCTAAATAGTATAATGATAGTAGAAAGAAATGAGAAAAAGAGACATTACCTTCCTTTTTTTTTTTTGTCTTCATAAATATAGGATTGAAGCGATGTGGTAAGAGTTGCGGGCTTAGATGGTTGAGAACTATCGTATTGTGTGGCTCACAGATAGAATTTTGTTCCTCTTCTCTTCTCTTCAATTATTTTTCTTTTTCATCGTTGCTTCTTTTTATCACCTTTACATTTACAGTTTTTTGTGCAAAATAGATCACTTCTTATTTTTAATCTCTATAGCAAAGGTTAGCAGCCAAGTGTGAAATCTAGCTTGTTTTATACGACTTTTATAAGGTCGGTTATGATTTATGGTACATAGTGTTGCGTGGTTAACATAGTCAAAAAATGCATATGCATCTAAATGCATCAAGTTTGTAACAGTAAATGCTGCAATTGATTGCTCATTGACTCAAGTCATGGAAAAAGTGTTACTTTTTCTTTTTGCAAATCCACATCATTCTATAGATCCAATTGGCACATGATGATGAGTGTGTTTGAACTTAACTCCCAGGCACATACATTTTTTTACTTTTCTCAAAGATCTAGAACCCTTTATTTGTGATCTAGATATTGGTTTCCGATTCAAGCCACAAATTTTTTTTTCCCCATTTTATCTCCTTTTCATATCTTTTCCATTGATTTGTTGCAATTTCATCAAAATTTCATTGGAGACCTTTTTCGAAAGCTATAAATAAATTATCTTGCACAATACAGCTTGACTAATTGGTAGAGCTGGGGATTGTACCCCCAACTCCGGTGAGCTGGGCATAAGGGCCTGACACTGGGCCACCCTAGAGGCTCATTAATGATTTGTTTTGTTTATGCAGTTGGTGTGAACAGCCTTTTTGGGCTTTTTTGCCCTTCTGTTTTAAATTATTCTTTTGCATTTTTTTTATATAGATAACGTCATTTCAATCTTCCTATTCTCCTTGTGTGAGTTTCCCATTTTTTACTACTTCAATGCTTTCTCCTACTCCCTCATGATCTCTCCTCTTGTGTCTATAATGAATACATAGGAATTTTTTTGCATTAATTTAGCTAACTATCCAAAGCTTCATGAATTTTGTAACAGTACCATGTGTTGAAAACTCAGACAGAGACTTACAAGAAGTAGGTTAGTGCATCATCTAATAGTAATTTTAGAACATGCAATTGTTTCTAGCACTTTTTTGTTGTTCCCATTTTGAAATTGTTTTTGGATTTGGATCATTGCTCTTATCTGTCGTTGCAGGTAAGGAAGATGGAATAAAGGCAAGGAAATCTCATACTGGACCATGTAAGTATCTTGAACCTAAAAAAGGTTAATTTGTTTTCCAAATAAAATACATTTATGCTTCCTAAAATAAGTTCATGCCACTTTCAGCCTCTAATTTTAATTTTGTCCTTTAAATATTCAATTTGATTCAAATTAGTTTAATTTCAATTGAACATTTCAGCCTCTCCTATATATTTATTTCTCATCAATATATACATGCTATGTATATCTGTATATATGTAATAGATGGTAGTCTGTAAATGTTATCTGATATTAAGGGTCCTCTAACTGTTTGAAAAAAATGCCTGACTAAAAAAAAACTGTGTTGGCACAATGAGGTTCATGATGGTAGGTATTCTTTAGTTTATTCAACTTTCCAACAACTGGCTTTATGATATTTTTCAAAGTTGTAAGTATTCTATATCTGCTTTACCAGTTGAGAAAGACAAGGAATTTTTTGAAGATAAGCTATCTTCCAGTGCAGCAACTCTTGATAATTTGCACAACCAAATGAAGATGTCATCCTTGAGATTTGAGTCTTCAGAGGAAATTGTTGGAAATTGTAAGTTATCCTCATTTCCTATATCATAAAAAGTTTTCAGATAATTTCCAACAATAAGAACTGTCGATGCTGCCAAACAGAAGCTTATCATAAATTTGTAAGCAAAGAACCAGGTATTTCCATTTGCTTCACTTATTTTCAGAGTTATGAAATGCGTTTGAATTCTGAATGTAGGCAAAAGAGAGTTAAAAGAACTCAGCATTGAAAAAGAGGAGAGGGAGAAATATTTCAGATATGAACAGTGCAAAACTACCAATGTCATTGAGGAAAAAGGTAGCGTCTTCATTGATTGCTTCTGTTTATGGTTTATTTTTGGACTGGCTACCCCATCAGGACTCAAACTACTTTGGCTCAAGACCAATTCATTGAAATAATGTATTAATGAGTAGCAAATTAAAGCTTGCATCCTAAAAAAGCTGCATGAAAACACTTTGAGGTTAACATACCTAATGGTTCACATCTTGCCATTGATTGCTTTTGTTTATGGTTTGTTTCTGGACTGGCTACCCCATCAGGACTCAAACTACTTTGGTTTAAGACCAATTCATTGAAATAATGTATTAATGAGTAGCAAATTAAAGCTTGCATCCTAAAAAAGCTGCATGAAAACACTTTGAGGTTAACATACCTAATGGTTCACATCTTGCTTAGAGTAAGGTGCAGCCGAGGTCCATGCCTCACGTGACCACCTTTCCTTATTTGAGAAATTAATATATTTGACCAAAATATGGGTTGTCATAATATCATTAACATTTGAAGACAATTTGAACAGTTGTTGTAACAATAAGGAGTGCTGAGTGAGTTGAATTGAGCTCGGTTTCTATTACCAGTTTGCTGCTGCTGCCACCACACTCTTCCTATATTAGTGATAGTAGTAATATCACACATTTAACTTAATGATTTATTTAATGAATTTTAATGCATTTGGAGTTTTACATAAGCTATTCCAATTGGAAACAGAGGCATACTTCTATTCTCATGTGCTTGAAGTGTTTTTTAGTGGATTAATGTGTAGGAGTTGTAACTCTTATCACATGATAACAACAATTGGCTTCTGATCTAAATTTTTATTAATAGACTTGCTTTTTGTTTTTCACACAGATGCTATGATCAAGCATTTGGAAACAACTGTATCTGCTACCAGATTGGATATGGAGAGCTTAAACTCAAAGATGGAAAAGTTACATGTTGGTTTGAAATTTAAGGAGGACGGCATTCAAGTTTGAGAATCTCAGAAGAGATGTAGGAGAAAGAAAAGAATGATCTAAAATGTGTGTAAGTGACATTGAATGAATTGACAAAAAAAATGTAGATATCCCTCACGAGGATGGAAGACAAGGTGAGGATGAGGGACACGAAGAAGAGTTGGGAAGAGATGAAGATGATGGTGATGAGGGAGACGAAGAAGAGTTGGGAACAGAAGATGTTAAAGATGGAGATGAATTTTCTAAGGAGCCTTGACCTTGGCCTTTTCATTGTTTTACTATGCGCAGACTAAATTGATAGTTGAATATGTTATGGCTTTTGTGGTTGTCCCAATTTGTTTATGAACACTTTTTGCTTACTTTTGGGAGTTTAGTATGATATGTTTTGTGTATAAAAAAATTCTTATGGTTGGTGTTTTGGTGAATATGACCTCACCAGGTTGTTTATTGTTTGAAATATGGTAGTATATTGCCTTTTTATTTATTTATTTATCTTCTAAATTTTTGAAAATTGTCAATGAGGATAAGGTGCTTGATGTTTGAAATATGATGTATTTTGCTTGATGTTTTAATGTATTGAATAGTAATTTATGAGGAGGTTGTGAATGATACAATTTGTTAACTTCAAACCTTGTCATTATAAAAAAATCTAATTTGGAAGCCCATAGCTTGACTAAACACTCAAGATTTTGGGTTTTAGCTTTTATTTGGATTATGGCCAATGGATTGGCCAATTGATTTCTATCAAGGTAGTGAATTTTCCAATAGATTTGAAAATTGATTGGGGACCCATTAGTCAATCAATTCTTGCAAAAAAAGTGATAACACCAATCAATTAGTCAATCATTTTGGAGCCTATGGCCATGACAAAAAAAAAAAAAAAAAAAAAAAAAAAAAATGCCAAATTTTGGCATCCTTGTATAATCTACTTAAATATTGTATACAATCAAATTATAGTGAATCTATTAGGCACTAGGCAATGTTCCAATCTTACAATCATTTGTGCAATCAATTGTTCTGTACTCTTGCAATATGGATGCATTTTATGCCGAATAGATCGACATCCAAAATCAAATTTACAACCTTACACATCAATAATCTACACATACATGGATTACAAAAATCAAATTTACATTCACATTAAATCATCTATAAAGAAACCATTCAAATTACATCACATTTATAAAAACAAAGTCATTGGTAACGTTTATAAAATTTATTTTTCGTTTTTTTTTTTTGGCTACTAATTATTTAGTCGCCAAAAATCTTTGATTTCTTTTGGCTACCAAATATTTAGTCGCCAAAAAACCTTGATTTCCTTTTGACTACCAATTTGGTTCGTCATCAACAACTTCACTTCTTTTTGGCTACTAAATGTTTAGTCACTAAAAACTTTCTTCAGTTTTGTTTTATATTAATTTTGCCTTATATTTATTCTATGCAACCTGTACCCTGTATATAAGCAAAATAATAACAATCTAAGAAAATTTAACTTTTAATGTCAAATTCAAAATATAATAAAAATTCCATACAAACCAAGCATAATCTAATTTAAAATAATAATTCTATACAAAACAGAGGATTATACAAAAACTATGTCTTCCGTACACAAAAAAAGAAATATCCACAATACCATGTCAAATGGTAATCTATACCACCCCAAATGTAATATGTTCTATGCCAAAACTAATTTGTATGACGCCAATAGTTATCTGTACAAACAATAGTAATCCACAAAAAACAAAGAACAACATAACAACAGATTATAAAAAAAAACAATAATATCCACAATACCATGTCAAATGGTAATCTGTACCACGCCAAATGTAATATGTTCTATGCCAAAACTAATTTGTACGACGCCAATAGTTATCTGTACGAACAATAGTAATCCACAAAAAATAAAGGACAACATAACAACAGATTATAAAAAAAAAAAACAATGTCCTCCACACACAAATAAAGAATATTCGCATTTCCACGCCAAAAACCATCTGTAAAAATAAAATTAACCATTAGTATTGATTGAATAACACTATCATTTCAAATTATAAAAAGAAAATTATATAAAACTAGAATGTATATAATGTTTTCAAAATTGTGTATTTATAGTCATAATCGTATGTTGCATGTCTGGACAAGTTTCTCCCAAGTTTTCCCCTCCCGAAATGCAATTTTTCAGTTTAGTTTAAGGCATTTTCAACCTTAACTCCTAACCTATGTCTCCAACTTTAACTCCCAACCTATGTCTGCTACTCCCAAGTTTTCCCCTCCCGGGGGCTATTTTGAATTTTCGCCCTCAAAACGTCCATTTTCGTCTAAGTTTAAGGCGTTTTCGGCTCTAACTCCCAACCTATGGGTCCGAATTACATTCCGTCTATTGTCACAGGTCTTATTTTTCATGGGGAACCTGTTCGTGAGAGCCACATCGTGGTTCGGGGGCTGTTTTGAATTTTCGCCCCTGGAAAGCCCTCTTTTAACTAAGTTTAAGGCGTATTCGGTTCTAACTCTTAACTTATGAGCCCGAATTACATGCCGTCAGTTGTCACAAGTCCTATTTATCAAGGGGAAACTGTCCGTGAGAGCCATACGGTGGTTCGGGGGCTGTTTTGAATTTTTGACCCTAAAACGCCCTTTTTTGACTAAGTTGAAGGCGTTTTTGGGTCTAACTCCAAGCCTACGCATCCTAATTACATTCCGTCAATTGTCACAAGTCCTATTTGTCAAGGGGAAACTGTCCGTGACAGCCACACGGTGGTTTTGGGACTGTTTTGAATTTTCGACCCCGAAACGCCTTTTTTTGACTAAGTTTAAGGCAATTTCGAGTCTAGCTCCAACCCTACGCGTCCTAATTACATTCTGACAGTCGTCACAAGTCCTATTTGTCAAGGGGAAGCTGTCCATGAAATCCACACGGTGGTTTGGGGGCTATTTTGGATTTTCGCCCCCGAAACGCCGTCTTTCGACTAAGTTTAAGTCATTTTCGGGTCTAACTCCAAGCCTACACGTCCTAATTACATTCGGATAGTTGTCACAAATCCTATTTGTCAAGGGGAAACTATTCGTGAGATCCACATGGTGGTTTGAGGGCTATTTTGAATTTTCGCCCTCGGAACGCCCTTCTTTCGACTAAGTTTAAGGTGTATTCGGCTCTAACTCCCAACCTATGGGTTCGAATTACATGCCATCAGTTGTCACAAGTCCTATTTGTCAAGGGGAAGCTGTCCGTGAGAGCTACACGGTGGTTCAGGGGCTGTTTTGAATTTTCGACCCTAAAACGCCCTTTTTCAATCAAGTTTAAGGCGTTTTCGGGTCTAACTCCAAGCCTACGCGTCCTAATTACATTCCGTCAGTTGTCACAAGTCCTATTTGTCAAGGGGAAGCTGTCCATGAGAGCCACACGGTGGTTCGGGGGTTGTTTTCAATTTTTGCCCCTGGAATGCCCTCTTTCAACTAAGTTTAAGGCGTATTCAGCTCTAACTCCAAACCTATAGGTCCGAATTACATGCCGTCAGTTGTCACAAGTCCTATTTATCAAGGGACTTTTTCTAAACGTAACACTCTAATGTAACACTCAAATAATGTAATACTTCAATGTAACACACTAAAAAATTTTTTAGTATACTTTTTTTAAAAGTAACAACGTAACACTAAAAAAAAAAAAAATTTAATATACTTTTTCTAAACGTAACACTCTAATGTAACACTCAAATAATGTAATACTTCAATGTAACACACTAAAAAATTTTTTAGTATACTTTTTTTAAAAGTAACAACGTAACACTAAAAAAAAAAAAAATTTAATATACTTTTTCTAAACGTAACACTCTAATGTAACACTCAAATAATGTAATACTTCAATGTAACACACTAAAAAATTTTTTAGTATACTTTTTTTAAAAGTAACAACGTAACACTAAAAAAAAAAAAATTTAATGTATTTTTTCTAAACGTAACACTCTAATGTAACTTACTAAAAAAAAAATTTAGTGTACTTTTTTAAAAAGTAACAACCTAACACTAAAAAAAAATCCGTAGTATACTTTTTCCAAATGTGACATTCCAATTAATGTAATTCCAAACGTAACACTCCAATTTAACATACACAAAAATACTAAACACTCCTTAGTATACTTTTTTCAAATGTAATATTCACAGTTTGAAATTATACATTTGTGCAAAACTTACTAAAGAATTTTTGTGCTTTTTTTTGAATGGTTTGAAGAATCCATTACCCTTTTGGAATAATTTGAAGAATCTCATATCATTTTTTTGGATTTTACGTTTGAAAAAAGTACATTAAATTTTTTTTTTTTTTTTTATGTTACATTAGAATGTTACACTAAGTTGTTTTTTTAAAATATTATATTGGAGTGTTATGTTTGGAAAAAATACAGTAAGGATTTTTTTTTTTTGAGTATTATAGTTTGAAATTATATATTTGTTTAAAGTTTACTAAGGAGTTTTTGTACTCCTTTTGAAATATTTAAAGAATCTTACATCTTTTTAGAATGTTTGAAAAATCTCATATTTCAAGTAATTTTTATATTACTTTTAAAATATTTTTCAAATAAAAAAGATTCTCATACAAAAATTCATCCAAAATTTGATTATCATAGATTGTGTATCTTACCTACCAAACCAAACCAAACCAAACGAAGCCTTAAGTCCCATCAAATGGGGTCGGCTACATGAATCCTTCTTCTCCACGCGGCCCTATCAAAGGCCATTTCATTAGTCAAATTAAGTAGATTCATATCACTATTTATAACGCTAGTCAACGTTAATCTAAGCCTACCCCGTCCCCTAACACTTCCATCTACCGTTACAGCATCGCATCTCTTTACTACTGCCTCTGAATAGTAAGTAATGTATATGAAAATTTAGATAGCCTGACCTTTCACCTGCACATACAATTAAAACTACAAACAGCCTAAGTTCCAAGTTAAACCTCTCAATATACTAGAAACAAGCCAACTATCCCAATTAGTTACAATAACCCACATTGTCATGCAATGGGTAACAAACAAGAAAACTCACTTAAAAAAATTAGTCATGATGATATTATTTGAATTCATCGATCCTACTTATATATTCAAGATCACCTATTCAAACTTCCAATATGGAATGGGATTGTTACACTTCCTCTAATTAGAAAGCCTAGAGGGCATAGGCCCTAGAACCTTGGGCTGAGATTGAAGCTTACGGATGCTCTCTAGGACAAGATTATGGGCAAAATCTCTTTATAAAAATTTT